AAATTTCCTGAATTTGGATAAAGAAAAACAATTTAAACATATCTTACAATCAAAAGATAAAAATACTATTATAGCCCTCTATGTGTACTTGAGTAACAGTAAATGAACAAAGAAAAGAATACACTCAGTCACACTTATTAAATTTTTTATTTACTCAACTTTCGCCTACTTACTTTTTTTTAGTTATTCATTATTAACTTTATTACATTTTAAACACCAAATTAGAAATGTAAAATTTTCTACACGGTTGTAATAAAGCTGTTATCTATCTTATCTATCTATCTATCTATTAGAAGAATGTGCCTTATTTTGACCATAGACACACATCTGTCATTTATGCACACATTTATGCTACTAATACCGGTAGAGTAAATATGGTATGTAGTATTAATTACATGTGCCGATCAGTAAATTTATAATAATCAGTAAAGGTACTGGAAATACTGAACACTAACATTTTTAAGCGAGTGATTTAGGACAAGGGCATCCTCCCCAGCCAAATTACAATGTCATACCCCACTCACCTGGATCAGTGAATACCCAGGGATTATAGTAAAATCCATAAAGCCATGACATAAAGCAAATTATTGAGGCATGGATTAAAGTTACTAAGCGACAATTCCATTCCCATCTCTTATCGGGCAAAGTCAGACAAAATAAAGCATAGAGGGAAAACCAGAAAAGGAAAGTGGAAGTCACCGCAGGGATAAACACATATCTATCGAGTTCCATTACTCTGCTTCAATCTGCAAAAAAAGAAAAGATTATTATCAGTGTCAGACGGACTATGATTATAAGTTAGAAATTAGCAATAACAACTCAGTCTGTGTTCTGACCATTATCTATATCAATATTTGTTTTTAAATGTTGAGTTTCTTGAGCAAAGATTTCTCCATTGTGACTGCCGAACTACAATGAAACTTTATTGGTAATTAAACCTGTCACACAAATTGCCGCATTGATCACATTCTTACAGCAAGTCTCAGAAGTATTGGGGCAGCCAACTGCAAACTCGCTAGCGAATTGGCTAACTGCTTTGGTTTTGATGAATTTAATGAGTTCTAATGAATATGTATTAGCTAGTTCAACATCATTCAATCAGCAAGCCTTTCGTTTTTGAATCAGTTGTCGATCACAGTTGCTATGACAATGGAGTATGTCCATACTGTGACACTTGAATGATTGCACATGCAAATAAACGAGTGTAGACAATGTGGAGCTCTTGTCATTTCAGTTATTGCAAATAGTTATAAATATGGCTATAAACCATAAACCTTTCTTTCTAAGGTCTATGTATAAACTAAGGTATATATAGTATGAACAAATTCTTTGGAGCTGTTTCGGCATTGTAAATATCAAACAAAACAAATGTTTAAACAGAATGACTCATGATCAAGCATGTAGTAAAACGGCTCCAAACTGAAGTCGTAAGATCCAGGGCAAGCTGAAATAGTTATTATAATTTTCTTTATTATTACAGAAATGACGCTTCACATAACACGTTAACAGATATTGTGTCAACTCCAGAAACATGTAGTTTGACAGGTGACCTCTGACCCATATAAGCAAACATGCATTTGGAAAATTCATGTAAGACCACGCGTTTGTTTTGACATGTATAGCTCTTTTATCTCGAATATGTGAATGTAACGAAAAATAGTGTTTGTCGCAGCTGT